CCCCCGAAAAATTTATTCAATATGTTTTTTTATAATATAGAAAAGTCATTAACTTAGTCTGGCGATTTTAAAGTTTGGACCCCCCCCATAAAAAAAACCTGTATCCACCCCTGACTAGCGTACATGTAGCACATCTCCAATACAAGCACATATAAACCCAAAATTGCATACAAAAAATACTTATTTTGACCATAGAAATACCTTAAATAATTTATGTAAATGCATGCTTATAAAGCAAATACTGTACTTAGTATTACTACATGTCTGTCAGCATAAACAATAGAATTTAGCCATGAAAACCCATACTGACTGGTTGAAGTGTTTGAATGTATTATGGACCTCATTCTGATTTGTAATATGTGGATTTATGTTAGAACACTTTCATTTGGTTGCAACAGATGTAGCAACAAAGCACCGACAAATCTATATTAGAAGCCGCATCCCCAATAGAAGTCACATCCATTCTTTTTGAACAATTAAGAATGAAGAAGATCACAATTTCTACAGATGTTCTAATAGAAGCTGCATCCCCTCTGTTGCATTGTACCATTTTAATAGAAACCACTGCTTCTAATACTGATTTTACAGTAATATGTGATGGAATAGAATAAAATCAAATAACTGAACAAAAACAATGGCTCAGACACATCTCACAGAATGCTTTTCGCTGCATTTTCAGGCCATTATTTTTCACAGGCTTATAAGAATATTTGTTTAGTTGAATTAATACAATTTGACTGGTACATAACATGATCTGGTTACTAATCATGTTCCTATGGTATATAGGAATCCTATGTTGAGGAAGCAATGGCTCAACTGGAAGGAGCTGCCAATGGTGACATGTTGGATTTCCTTAGCAAGGAGCTCATCCGGTTACAGGAAGAACGTCGTATCCATGCATTCTCCATGCTGGCTGAAAGGAAAAGACGTATCCGTGAAGCAGAGGAATCTGGAAGAAGGCAACTTGAGGAACGAAGAAGGAGGGAAGAGGATGAAATCTTCAAACAGGTGAGTACGATTTTATATGAAAGGTTATGACACTCTACAATCTGATAAAATCATTGAAATCTATGTATATGGTTTGTTCTATTGATTTAGTAAAATTGCTGTTACTAATTTTACAAAAAGGATTTTAATTTTCAATGAAAAGACTTTTTGGCTGTTTTGTATGGAGTTTATTTTTACTGATTTTTGATGAGTTGAATGTAAAATATAGAAAAAAGGGTATATTCACTGGAATTTTTTTTAGTGAAAATAGATTCTGAGGGATGATAACGTATTTTACAGTATAGTGTTTGACATGGAAGTTTTTCTTTGATATTTCAGGTGGTCAAGGTTCATCAGAATTCTGTGGACACCTATTTAGAAGATATCATTTTACAGGCTGTGGATTTCACAGCTGATGAGCAAGCCAGAGGTGAAATACAAGCACAGGCTGAAAAGATTAATGATATTGCATATGATATGGAAGATAGGTATGTAGTGTTATCACTAAATGTGTATACTAACTAAAACATATGTCTCACTCCTTGACTCCTACTCACATGTACTTGCTTAAATCTGCAATCTGTTTATGTTCCTTTATCTGAGTGTGTTCAACACATGATTTAATAGTCATTAAGCATGTTTTATTTCATCTCAAATTACGTGAGAAATTTTGATCTTCAAACACAAATTAAATTGCGAAAAGAAGTATTAGGTTCTGTGTATAAAACATTAGTGTAAAGTGGTTATTTTAACCAAAATCGGCTAGTAAGGCGTCATATGACACAGGTCTGTGCTGAGACAACGATTTGACACAACACAACGATTTGACATGTTCATGCTGTAACTATATGCTGTTATTCCTTTTTTCAGGCGTACTAAACTTGAATCTGAAGAAATAGTATCTGAATTAGTCCATGGCTTCTTGATACCAGAAGTACGGAAACAGACGATAAAAGAGAAAGGTAAGACGCTTTACATTGTGGTTTCTGTTACCAGAAGATTTCAAATTTGAATAACAAAAAAGCTGTTAGAGTTAATGTGAATATATTTTAAATCAGAAATATTACCAGAATTAGAACATATCTCACACTTAAAAACACTTCATCTGATGGTCTATGCATTTGTGATAGTACAATTTCAATGTGTGCAGAACAATGTACAAAACCTCTGAAGAGATTGTTTCTGGATTTATGGCAATAGAAAAATAATTACATTGCAATTGCATTTCATTAATGAATATGACATTTTGGTGTACAGTAGTATAATATGAGGTTATTATGAGAATACCGAAAAGTATGAAGTACAGCAGAAGTATTGACTGACGTGCAATTACATTATTGTTATATATCTTTTCCTCCCGAGGACACATCATGGGAATGGTGAAATACAAACAGATTGAGCAAACTTCTTTGTGTGGGGTCAAACCCTGGGGCTGCCCTGTTTGTTTGTATTAGGACGCTTACGCACATAATCATTCCATATTTGGAATCCGCATTTCCTAATATGGTAGGATGAAAATACCCAGTGCAATAAGTGAAGCATTAAAAGTTCTGAGCTGGAGCATAAAATAACAATAATTACCATACTATGTAACTTGAGTGGACAGGATCACAACAGTTGAAAAAGAAAAACTTTACATATTTATATTCTTGTTTTTAAAAGTGAGCTACGCATATAGAATAGAATAGAATTCTTTATTGATACCGTAAAGATAACATGACATTTAATTTTTGGTAAACAAGTTAATAAAGATTTATACATAGTTGAGGAATCATAAAACTTTCCATGATAATTAAAGAGTGTTTGTAGAAGTGTTCTTAATACTCATTATTTGTACAAATTTTTTATATTTATTTATATCTTGGAATCCATCTATACAGGATTTGGCTGAATGTGTCTGTTGTTTGCATATATGGTGCATTCTGTTGTGAAATGTTCTTCATCTTTATCAATTTTGGCAGTTTTGTAAATACAGTAAATATATACAAAACCATTGAAATTGACAATATTATGTATCTTTCACAGTAAAACGTCAACAACGTAAACATCTGCTTGCTGCACACAAGATAATCCATGATGAAGGAGAAGGAACCATGGAGATGCATCCCAAGCCAGCAACACCAGTACCAACTAAAGAACAAACACCTCCTTCAACACCAGTAGCAGAATCAAGACCAACATCGTCAAGATCAAAAGTAAGTTCTTGTCACTGGTATCAGAGAATAATGCTTAAACCATTAACTAATACATTCATTGATCAATTATTTTAAACTATTAACTAATACATTCATTGATCAATTATTTTAAACTATTAACTAATACATTCATTGATCAATTATTTTAAACTATTAACTAATACATTCATTGATCAATTATTTTAAATCATTAACTAATACATTCATTGATCAATTATTTTAAACCATTAACTAATACATTCATTGATCAATTATTTTAAACCATTAACTAATACATTCATTGATCAATTATTTTAAACTATTAACTAATACATTCATTGATCAATTATTTTAAACCATTAACTAATACATTCATTGATCAATTATTTTAAATCATTAACTAATACATTCATTGATCAATTATTTTAAACTATTGTTGTAATATATTTGTTTGCAGTCTGCAGCATCCCGTCTTACATCTGGTGCTTCTAAAGCCAGTTCCAGAAAGGCTTCAGCACAAGGCGATGCTGAACCAGATGCTCAAGGATCAAGACCAGGATCTAAATCAGCATCTCATGCAAGTTCTAAACCAGCATCACAAGCAGGATCCAGACCTGGTTCAAGTGGATCCAGAAAGAGTGATAGAGGAACACCAGTGACATCTAAGCCTGCATCCCGTAGGAGTTCTGCTGCTTCTGTTAAGAGTGACAGAGCTGGATCTCCTAAGGTTAGTCTTGTCAACTTACTTTGGACATCACCAGTGTGATATTTTCAACTGTCATTTATAGGGTTGTGTGCTTCTAACAGAAAAATAGTGTTTGTAGAAATGTAGGAGAGTAATACTCTCTGATATTGCACCGTTTGTTAGAATTT